GCCTCCACACACCCAAGTGTCCCCTCGCCTCTAGTTGTCTTCTACATTAACTTACTCGTTTTATGTGATTAATAGCATCATATGTAGTATTACTTTTTATTTTTAACGTTTAACAAAAAGCTATTACACGCACTCATGGTGTGAGCTGCATTTTACACTAAACCTGATCATATTCATCAAATACTTTTGGTCCTTGAAAAGTTTAAAGTTAAGCTATGTTAGAGATATCGGAAAATATATGTTCTCTAATTTGTCAAGCTATGACACACACTCATTGTGTCACCACTCACCAGCCACATTTGTAATACCTCTCCGAATGTGATTTATCACAAAGCAAAGCAGGATTCTATTATGTAATCTTATATGACATCAAATTTAAGTCTTTGTCCTTGACCTTATTGAGTTATTTCACTTACTGAAACTATAACGTTACACTTTATGCTGGTTCACAGTTCACACATTGCCCCTTCCTCCCAAACTGTCCATGTTATTCACCCATCCTGTGTAGTTAGTAACATCAAATTATTATTATTTTTTTTTTTTGATAAATTCAACAAAAAGCTGTGACACGCACGCATTGTGTCAGCAATCACATTATTTAACACCTCTCTGTTATTAATCAACTTGATTTACCTACTGATGAACTATACAATTTTGCTATTACCTGCAGGGACCTGAGCCTAAGCCTTCAGGAGGTCAAGCTGATACATGTGCCGCGAGTGAGGGTGCAGGAGGCAGACAAGCTAGCGAGGGAAGCCAGATTGGTTCTTGCGGCTCTCCAATTAACCTGGGGTTATAATCCCTGATATGTTGCTTTGTAAAGCAGTTCACTTAACCCCTCCCCCTATTTTGGATGATGTTCCTCAAACTCTAACTCCGATATTATATTAGGATGTATTGGGTGCTGTGCCACCTTATTTTGACCCCCATTGATGGGTGAAACTTTTCAACTGTATGCTTGGTGAGCTTACACCACAACTTGCTTTAATTAAATAATCTGCTCTTTTCTATCAATAATAAAATTAAAAATAAATAAATAAATAAAACTCCTCTCTTGATCAACATGATCCTAAAGCAAAGTCAGATTGTTTGCCTTAATTTTCTTTTAAATGATTATTGATTTATTTCATTCCATATATCTCATATTTTCTTCGCTCCAAATTAATTGACACATTTTGATTTGACACTTTCCCCTTAAACTGCCTTATGTGATTTAATAATTAAAAAAAAACATATTTCACATGAGATTTTTTTTTTTGAAAGAACATGAGATTTTATTTAGTTCTTCTTAATGCGTGATTTTAAAATATTAGCTTGTATAATTTGTACTATTGATAATTACTTCCTCCGTTACGTATTATGTGCAACATTTGCCAAAAAGGGAAACTACACATTATGTGCAACAAACTTTTTCTTTCCTTGTTTGGTAATTTTTTTAAAATGAAATTACTATAATACCCCTTGTTTAAGATCTAATAGCACTATTTTAATTACTAATTTAAATTAATTAGATTACTTAACATTAATTATTAAAAACCCCTTCAAAAAAAAAAAAAAAAAAAACTCCTCTCCCCTGCCACCATCATCACCGACCACCACTATCATCACAGACCACCCATGAGAAACACCAAACACCACGAACATCTTTGACACCAGACCAATAACACCAAGGCCACCACAAACACCTCCGACACCGAACCATTACAACCACCAACATCATCTTGTTCATCTTCGTTCTTTATCGTCGCCACCACCAAGCACTACAAAAATTTGGCCTTTTAGCAACAGGTGAAATCCGTTGCTAATTGCTAAAAATCCGTCGTTGGACATAGCTAGCTACGGATATATTGACGGAATCACTCCGTTGGTAAAAACCTTGTCGCTAAATGAATTTAGAGACGGAAAAAAAAAATCCGTCGCTGGACTTAGCAACGGAAAAAAAAATCCGTCGCTGGATTTAGCAACGGAAAAAATAAATTCGTCGCTGGATTTAGCAACAGAAAAATAAAACTGTCTCCAGCTTTAGCAACGGATTAAAAAAATCCGTTGCTAGATTCAGCAACGGAAAAAAAAAATCCATTGCTAGATTCAGCAACGGAAAAAAATATTTTGAATCTAAAAAAGAGCTGATGTTTGGGTCGACCTCACTCGAGTCAACCCGACTCGACTTTCCTTGAATCTCCAATCGCAATATTGCTGTTAGTAGGAGTCGAACCCGTGACCTCAATGTCAAATAGTGAAACTCGTACCAACTATATTAAATATTATTTGTTTACTTTTACTCACATAATTGATAATAAATGAAAGAAATATTAGAGACGGAATTTAAAATCCGTCTCTAGATTAGAAACGGAATTTAAAATCCGTCTCTAATGTAGAAACGGTTTTTCAAATCCGTCTCTAATTTAGAGACGGATTTAAAAATTTGTTTCTAGTTTAGAGACGGATTAAAAATCCGTTTCTAGTTTAGAGATGAATTTAACTTACATAATTCGTACCTAATGTAATATTTTAAATAATTAGTTTCAAAAATTATCTAGAGATGGAATCAGCAAAAATCCTTCGCTTATATTAGCAACGGAAAAAAAATTATTTCGTCTCTAACTTAGCAACGGAAAAAAAAATCTGTTGCTAAGATAGCAACGGGAAAAAAAATCCGTCTCTAAATTTAGCAACGGAAAATAAATCTGTTGCTAAATTCAGCAACGGAAAATAAATCCGTTGCTAGATTCAGCAACGGAAAAAAAATCTGTTGCTAATTTAGCAACGGAGAAAAAATTCGTTTCTAATTTAGAGACGGATTTTCAATTTCGTTGCTAATTTAGCGACGGAATTTTTAATTTCGTCTCTAATTTAGAAACGGATTTTTAAATTTCGTCTCTAAATTACTTTGGAGACGAATTTTTTATTCCGTCTCTAATTTAGAAACGGATAAAATTTCGTCGCTAGAATTCCGTTTCTATATGGACATATTTTTGTAGTGAAGGATCTCAAATCGAATGAAATTTGAAACGAAAGAGAAAGAGAAAGAGAATTGGGTGTGCGAATTTGCTGGTGGATTTCAGATCTAGGGATTTCAATGGTGGATTTCAATGGTACGAATTTGTGTTGTGGATTTCACGTGGTGGCTTTCGATGGTACGGTTTCTGAGTTTCAATGGTGGATTACCCTTGTGGATTTTAATGGTGGATTTTGCTGGTACTGATGTACGGTTCGCGTTTCCGTGGTGGATTTCGCAGGTGGTAGGTGGTGGGGGTTTCGGGATTTTGCTGGTGGTTTCGCGTTGTGGTGCCAGTGGTCAAGGTTTCGGGATTTCATTGTTGGATTTCGGAGTTTCAGGTGGTGGTGGTCGTTTCTAGATGTCAAGGTTTTAGGGTTTTAGAGTTTCGCTGGTGGTGGTCGTTTCTGGTGGTGGTGGATTTGTGGAGTTTTTGGCGGTGGCTTGTGTTTTGGGATTTCGCTGGTGGAGTTTTTGGTGGTGGTCGTGGTGGAGTTTCTTGTTGTGGTGCTGGTGGTGGGGTTTTAGGTGGTGGAGGGGTGTTAGTTGGTGGTGATGTGGTAGATTATTAGTCATACCACTCTCTCTCCTTCACATAATCACTTGCCCTTCAATCTTACTAATCAAGGCTTAATATCTTTTGTCTTGGAGTCCGTGTCAACCTATTTGTTGCACATAATGTGTAACGGAGGAAGTAGTTATTTACGCTTGAATTTAAACATCAAGCATGTGTAATACTGACAATTAGAGTTGTTTACAGTTGAATATAAGCGTTAATAAGTGCATGATAAAAGAAAACGAACATGCCAACTAATTGGAACAAAGCTTATGATCTTATTGTACTTATTGATGAAATTGTATCTTAACACTCTATGTTCATAGTTCACACGCTGCCCCTCCTCTATGTCCCTTGTGAATACAATGTGTTCCAGAATTTCTTTTATTGTTCTAAATAAACCAACCATTACCAATGTTGAACCTCTATTAATGGTCTTACGTATTTCCATCAGCACCTAACCTTAAAAAACTAAGAACTAACCTATAACACCCAAAATTTCCTAAAAAACTAAGAATTAACCTATAACCTTGATTAAGAACTAACCTATTATTACACCCAATATTTTCTAAAAAAAACTAAGAATTAACCTATAACCTTGATTAAGAAATAAGGCCTTATTTACTTCACCTTAAAAAGAATAATATTAAGTAAAAATAATTTCAGTAGAATAAAAATAAGTTCAATTCAGTAAAATTAATTTCAATTCTATAAAATTAATTCCAGTTTAATAAAAATAAGTTAAGTTCAGTAAAATTCAGTTTTCTTAAAAAAGAATTATAATAGAAAATCATTAAAAAATAATTTCAATTCAGCAAAAATTATATCAGTTCAGTAAAATTAATTTAAGCTTTTGTAAAAATAATTTAAGTTCAACAAATATAGTTTTGTTTCAATAAAAATAATTTCACTTCAGCAAAAATAAGGTGAAGTGAACGGGGCCTAACCTATTACACCCAAGATCTCATTTCCAAATAATTTATTTAATTCATTTGGACCATACAATTTCCATCCTACACACAAATGTAATGTGCCCACTCCCATTCATCCCCCACCCCCCCCCCCCCCCCAAGGCCCCAATATCACATACATAACATATTCATGCCACATTTTATCGATTACTAAGCAAATGTTTTGTGCTATGTCCTAGATCTTGAACCCACAAACTCACTACATTGACCAACAACAGTTGAGTAGCTTAACAGAGATTTTCAACGCAGCCATGAATACAACGATGCTATGTCTTAGATCTTAAACCCACAACCACCCCAACCCCGTACCACTCCAGTAAGATTTGATTCCAAAACTATTGCACGATCAAGGCACGACACAACCATGACAACACAGAGTTCCCCCAAAATTCAGCAACTTTATCAGCATTCAGGACTTGGATAGTTGGATGCTCCTTACTACCAGCGACTACAACAGACAAAGGGAGCTTAAAAATGATCAAAAAATAATTCTTGACCTCTGAGAGCACCGTAATTTACACAATCAGGAGCCAAAAGACGAAACATCAGTCACAAGCTACAAGCAAAATTCCTACAGAGTAAATGACTGATATGCAATATGAACATGAAGCTGTGAATTATTCACAGCTGGAAGGTAATTGGGAACTTTAATCAATTATATTTAGACAGAATCCTAAACCAACATTGTCGGAAAAAAAAAAACTACGAAAATTTGTAACAAAAATATTACATTTATTAACTGTAAGAGACTGGTATGAAAGGAATTGTCAATCAGCAGGAATAAAAGAACTCTTTCGGGCCTTTTACCTGTGTTGAGACATGCTATTATGAACAATGCCAGTGAATGGATGACATTTTGGAGAACCAAGAGCAATGAACAATTGCTTGCTTTGAATTCAGAGCTAAAAATTCCGGCTTAACTTTCAACTTCCCTTCTCTGCTGTGATCTGCAAACTCAAGACTGACTGCTCTAATTTCTGCCTACGACTTTCCTTGCTTTTTGTGCTGTATATACAGTATCAGCAATGTTAATCAGTCATAATCAAGCAGCTGTGAATTAAGGCATGCTTGGCCATATGACTTCATGTGAGCACCAGAAATTACACTTCTTAACACTTCCAATGAATTCTACAGCAGGTATCAGCAAACCCTGCTTGCTGAGAGGTGGACTTTAAAATAGGATCAAAACTCGTCAAAGTAACATAAGAGCTCTACTACGTAAACATCTCCTTTGACGAGGCTGCAGGAGAAAAGGAAGTTTCTGGAAGCCCTAACAATTCACGAGTCATGGCTGTCTTCTCAGTCGGGGTAGCATTGGTCAGAACACCTGAATTCCCATTACAATTTTCATCAGTTGATGCCCTGACCTCAAAATCCATAGCGGGGGGGTACATGGAGCTTTTGCTGCGTGGTTGACGAGTACGCTTTGACTTTTGATCTAATGTAGTAGACGAAGAGCGCTTTCGACTATGCCTTACTGGGCTCAAGAACCCAATTTCAAGAGCCTCAAGGGCTTTTGTTGTTAGTGGACGATTCCTAGTGCTTTGCCTTCTTGGTTGTTGGTCTAATGAGTCTCCAACCTTGTTAACAGGCCCCACAGCAGAACTGGATGAGGGAATCTGCACAGCAGAAGAGCTGGATGAGGGAATCTGCACAGCAGAACAGTTGGATGAGGGAATCTGCACAGCAGAACAGTTGGATGAGGGAATCTGCACAGCAAAAGAGCTGGATGAGGGAATCCCCACAGCAGAAGAGCTGGGTGAGGGGAACCGCACAGCAGAAGAACTGGATGAGGGAATCCCCACAGCAGAAGAACTGGATGAGGGAATATTTTCTCCTTCGTGCTGCTTTACTTTGTCATCACACTCAGGTTCAGAAGAAACCTGAGGCAAGTTTAAGTCAATAACTGTCTGATTAATAGGGTTTGTTTCATTTTCCTGGGAAACATCGGAACTAACACGGTAGCTTTGGTCCTGATCCTGGAGAACATTTTCATTGCGATGTCTTGCAGCTGATTGTTCCATAGATACTACTTGCAAATTGTCAAACTGATTCACACCAGAAGGAACGGCATCATCATTTGTCATCACAACTCTAGAAGCAGCAGCCTTTTTTTTCTTTTTAGCTGGCAAGCTCAAAACACAAGTCAGATCCGCCTCAACACAAGAAGCTAATTTCCGTTTTTTTGTGACAGAGCAGCTTGAGGGGCCTGATTTTAAACGACGGCTGAATTGATGTTTAATGGTTCTCGACTTGAGGTCTGTTGGTAGATTGGCATCAGCTGGCTTTTTCAGAGGTTCTAAGTTAATACTGCCTTGTTCGCTTCCACCAGCAACACTCTTTGATTCTTTTAAATGAGCGTGAAGAGCCGGGCTTTGAAGACCATTTCTCATCGTATCAGTATTAACCTCCGATTTCAAATCAGATTTTCTGGAAGAAGATCTTTTAGCTTCATGAGGTAAACTCCTCAGTTCCCTCACCTTAGATGGGTTATCTTCATGAGCCAGACTGGTGTCAACTACAGTGAACTTGAAAAGATTTGAAATTTCTGAGGAGACTCGAGGCTTGAGGTAACAGTGACGCTCATGGTCAGAAGAATCTTGATCATCATCTGATTTCACTGCAATGGACCACCCATTTTCTTCTATCTTGGAGCTGCTAGGTTTAATTTCATCAGTTTCCAGCTCAAGAAGCTCTGGATCACTGGCAACTTTTGCTAAAACATCACTGATGGAATCAAAGTAGTGATCTCCCTTTGAAAGCTTCCTTCGTGAAAACTTCTTAATCCCGGGCATAAGAAAAACCAAACCGTTCTTTGTGCTAGCATAACCATCACCCCTAGGCTGCTCAGAATGCCAACCCCTTGCTAACAAACGAGGCCAAACAGCTTCCCAGAAGAGATCATTAGATCGAGCTTTGCTAAGACGGAAGTCTCCTGTCAGATACTTTACTATCTCAGCACAGGTTAGAGAAGAACAGGCCTTGCCAGAAGGAATTTCAGGTCGATTAGTGAGTATTTGGCTATTTTTTGAACCATCCAAGATAAATGTCGTTAGATCCTCCTTTCCCTTCCCAATTCCAACAGCTTCTACTAAACCATGGATTCCAACCAAGGCTTTGAGTGAGAAAACATATTCATCTAAGGTTGTCCTTCCCTCGGCAAATGCCCTAGAAACCTGAAAATAGTTCATACGGATTTTTGTTAAGAGCGGCAAGATAAAAGAAAAAAAGAACAAACATGTAACCAATCAGTGTCTTTAGATCCATCATTATAATTGTACAAGTTAAAGAGGTATTGCATGATCTTAATAGTTTGGCTATAACAAATGTTAAAATGAGATGTTCAGTGAAGCTAATAAATGTTGAGAAACTGAGATGCATAAAATAATAAAAAGGAGGTGATGTGATCTTTTCTACTCTCAGGCTGAATCACATCATATTCTGATGTCTTTTGCTTTCTGCATCTTTCTCTTTTTGTTCTGGATTACTGCCTTCCTCCAGAGATGAAACAAACAAATAGGATAAAGACTCCATGCAACTAGACTCCTTGTACTTTAAGTAAAAAAAATAGCAGTAAACTAGTGGAGTACCTCCAACAGATTAGTTTTGGATTCTTCAGAGAGACGAGGGGCTAAACGAGCAAAGAGTTCATGCTGCCTGTATCCTGTGAAAAATCTATGTCCAAGTACACACTTCTTGTTCCTCATCTTTCGACACTCTGACCATCTACGATATCCTCCAGACACATAAAACCTTCCATAATAGTACGCCAAAATTTGTCCCATACCCTTGCTCTCCATGAACCTCATCACTTGGAGAAGATTCTTTCCAAATAAATACAACCCAAGAAGGAAGCTATCAGCTTCAAACTCACTCCACAAAGCACTTGATTGACCAGGGACAAGCCAGTATGTTTGTTTCGGAACCTCAACTTTGACATTTGGCTCTTCTGTTACTGAAGAAATCTGGCTAATTCCCACATTCTTTTTAGACTCCAAAAATCCATTTGTGTAAATTGCATGAGGATCATTAGGGCATTCCATCCTATCCTTGATTATATAAGCCTGATTACAGATCCACATCACTGGTAAGGGGAGTCCCATTAGAAAAGAATGTGAAGAGTCAGTACTGCCTTTTGATTCAGCTGGATTTTTCATCAGCTGACGAAGTTCAGACTTGTTTTGTAAAGACGGGATTTCCACCTGGTACTCATCACCAACTCGTGGATGCACCAATGGTTCTCCAAATATGTCATTTGAATCAGGTGAATCTGGAGAAAGGGATGAATCTGAAAGCGTTTCAGGCGAGCTTTTGCCCACTTGATCCAGGTGACTTTGGTCCATCTACAGCAGGAGTTGGGAAGGTTACCACATGAATATCGCAAAAGGCAAAACAAAATGTGGGGAGGGGAGGCAACATGTGAGTGGTAATCAGGAAAAAAAATCATTGAAACAATTTTTCTCAATATGCTGTACACCGATATCCAAGAAAAAAACAATTCAAAATACAAGTACAGTCTATTTTGAATACTCAATTCAATAATTTGATGCAGAAATTCATAGGCTAACCAAATTCATTTATCAGATGCAGAGATTCCATAGTTTCAGTCTTCAGGCATTCAATCAAAGATACATGTTCTTAAGATTGAACAAAGAGCAGTCAGTTAAAGCTCAATTATAGTAATAGCACAATACTTGCAAGAAATGGACCAAATTCACTGTAAGAAACAGCTGAATACAGACCAATTTGCTAATAACAAATGGTTGCAAATCAACCAAAAACTATAGAAGAGCAGAGTGCATGAAGATCCTGACACTTCTATAAGTACATTACACACGGCTTGGGTACTAAATGAAGGTTATAATGTATATTGCTCCAGCTCTTTTACCCAACTCACAATACCAGCATTGAGATATAACTATTATATCGTGACAGTCAGAAGCTTAGATTTCAACGAAATACAAATGGGACTCCTTTAACCTATCAATTTCTGAAAAACAGATCCACACCTATATGCAGGCCTTTTACGAACTCAATGTCACTTCAATAGTCATGCCGCTTCCTTTATCTCAAATGATTTATGCATAAGAAAACTGATATAATATGATCAGGTTCTGCACCTAAATGCATATACATATACGAAGTATATAGTAACAATTCACATCATGAACCATTCTGTTCTGACATCTGATCAACATATGTTCCTACCAGTCTGAAGTCGTGAGGATACATTCCTAGAACTCAACAAGCTATACTGAAGCACCAACATAAGACACATTCAGAAAATTTCTTAAAAAATGACCAAATCAACACACAGAAAAATAAAAAAATAAAATACATTCAACACATTCGTGATTTCTTGACATTAAACTTTCAGGATGGGGAAATCATGTAGCAAAAACCTAATTGTCACCACAAAATTCTCTATTTTCTGCTATATCAAATCTGAATATCAATCAAACCCCGTCCATACAGTCCAGAATGGTAAACCTCGGGACGACGACTCGACAACAAGTCGAGAAGTTCCAAACTTTCTCTCTCTACCTCCACCTCCACCTCCCAACCATTCTCTATAGTAACACACACGAACAGAGAATTTCTCTGCTCTAACAAGCAGAAATTTGACAGCAGAAACCATTTATAACAAATTAACAACACCTACATGTAAACCCAGAAACCAAATTCAACCAAAACCCATTAAACACTTCGATATCACCAACCAAAATATACAAAAACCCAACATTTTTAGATCCATTATTTCTCCAAAAATTTGCAGAAAAACCACCTAAACACGTAAAACAAACATAACAATAAAACATGTTCACACCATAAAATTAGTCACCAACAAACTCATACAAATTTAACTTGCAAAAGCAGCACAAAAAACAAGCAAAATAATAGCACAAAATTAACAAAAAAACACCACATACCCAACAAATAATCATAGAATTTCAAACAAAATATGTAAAAATAATACGTGATCCAAGTTTTTTTTAACCATATAATATCATTAAACAAAAAATACCCGAGAAAAAGTTACAAATAACACTTACATTAACACTTTTCACAACCAAAAATATACATTTGAGTATAAACATTTGCATTGACTATACCAAATTATAAAACAAGATTAACAACATCATAAAAAACGTGAAGAACCAAATTTGAACAAATGGGTATTTTGGATTTTTATTTTTTTGGAATAAAAAACTTTGATTAATATTCTTAAACTTTCTTGTAGGCAAAAAAAACAATAAACCAAACCAAACAACACCTTATAAATAAAGAGTACCCAGAAAGCAAAAACTACAAAGAAAAGGGTAAAAGAGTTTACCATTAACAGTTTGAGAGTTGTAAGCTTTTGTTTGTTTGAGATGGGGAGTTTACAAAATATTTTTGAAGGGGTGGGTCGAAGAAGAATAAGGGAGCCAAAGTCTTCCTCTTCTCTCAACTTTGTATAAGAGGAGAGAGAAAGAGAGAGGGGAGAGATTGAGAGATGTATTGTGTTTATGAATTTTTTTTTTTTAATTGATGTATTTAAAGAGAGTGAGATGGGGTATTTAAATAGTTTTATGTGTGTTTTTGGGTAGTTTTTGAGATATGATATGACAAAGTTATAGCCAAAGTTATAGTCGTAATCGTATTTGTTGGGAGAGCTTTCGTCTAGTTGAGGTCTCACCCAGCTCGAATCTAAATATGTCAGGGTCTAATCGGCTTTAAATTACGACATACGGTTGTATAAATACGAAATATGTAGTATAAAACTTGTAGCATACTTGTCAATTTTTTCATTCTTGTTAATAATATTACGGCCAGCCAATTGTCATATAGGGATATCATGGACTTTTTGTTAAAAAGTTAGGAGATAAGTAGAATTTTAAATACAATGGGCTTGAACTCTTGAAGGCTTTTTGGTTTTAGTTAATTTGGTAAACCAAGGGTTAAAAATATGTTGCAACATAGTAAAAAACAGAAAGAAAATTAACAGATTATTGTATCAATAACAAGCATTACATTGTTGCAAATTCATAACCCATAGAAAGAAATTATAAATCTCCCTCTCTTAATTGGCAGTGATTAACTCTCCCAATCAGTCATTCTCACTATATCAGGCTACATTTCTAATTTAAAATTTCCCAAAAAAAAAAAAAAAAAAAAAAAAAGTTAATTTACAACTCTCAAATTATGAGTCTATGATACGATTTGATGTGTAGTATCACAATCAGATACTTGTATTCAACAATTGTACAAATCATAAAGATGATTATGGTCATTTAACCAAATTAGTTTTAAATGATCTCTAACTTTAAATGTGATCGATTAAAGTAGGATAAGGGGATTCAATTTTTTAAAATTTTATAGAAACTATTTGGCATTTTGTGCCACAATTAATTCACTCTCTTAGATACATATACTCTTTTTTTCTAGTGTATTCTCCATCTCACAAAGGATTGTTTACTTTCCTTTTTCAATTTCAAACTTTAAAAATAATGACGGTTCATTAACTATTACCAATGTATAGTGGAAAAAAAATAATCATGTGGAATCTTATCTGATTTATTTTAATGTATATCATATTACGAGTAAAATTTCTATACAATACGTAATTAAATATATTTTTAGTCCTAGTTAAGGATTGAACTATGTATTCTTATATGACATCATAGTCATTGTTCATGACCTATTTCACTTATTGAAAATTAAATGTTACACTTTATGCTGGTTCACAGTTCACACACTGCTCCTCCCTCCTTCTCCCCCTGTCCTCCACGTAATTCACCCAGCCTATGTAGTTAGTAACGTACATCAAATTAATTTCACTTTTTATTTTTTATAAACTAAACAGAAAACATAGATGCGCATGCATTGTATCAGTAATCACATTATTTAACATCTCTTCGATTCAACTTGGATTGGTTACCTTTTTCTTTTAGACGATTACATATAATGAACCAAATTATAGTGAAAACCAATGCTAAAATAAGAATTGGGAACTAATCTAGGCCCTTAGATCATGTTAATCTATCGAATGTCTCACATGCTTCCCGTGTCATTAATGGCTTTTTTGTAATATTTTAACTTTATAAAGTGATTTCCAGTTTCATTTCTAAAAAGTAAATGGAAAGTTTGTAAAAGTAAATGAAATAAATCATAAATAAATGAAATTGCCTTAAAATTTAAAGGATTGGAAAAAAAAAAGTTTAAAATTTCGTAAAATTACAAAAATATCATTAATGAAAACGGGTGAGATGTGAACCATCGAATAGAGCACGATTAAAGGCTGAGATTGGTTCCTAGTTCCTATTAGTTACCTTGGTTCTCACATGATCTCAATTCTATATATAATAATATATTATTATACATATAATAATATACATTATAATAACTCCATAGAAAATAAGTGTTTTGCCGTTTCAAAACCCTAGCCTCCTTTTCTCTCTTCTCTCTCCTAAACCTAGTCTCCATTGTTAATTTTATGGGGCTTCCATCGGATTTCATCGGTGGAAAGCCCCAATCTTTATTTTCCTTTAAGCTTTTTAATTTGTTTTAGGTTACAATAATGTCTCCCTCGAAAGAAAGGGTTTATCTCCTTCGAAAGACAAGGTTTTTTCGATCTCCTTCGAAAGACAAGGTTTTTCGTACTCCTTCGAAAGACAAGGTTTTATTTGTGCTTAATTTGGTCTCCGGTTGTGCGGGGCTACTATTGATTGTGGCTCGGATTCGGGTTACGGAATCAACACAAGAATTTACTTTCTCACAAAATTGCGAAGCGACGACGGATCCACTCAAAAAGTTGTATGAGACAACGAATCGAGAATATGCCGAATTGTTATATTTATGTATTTGGATTCTTAGCCCTTCCCCGATTAATTCTTGTTTGATTTTGTTAAATTCGTTTTCATTATCGTTCATTGTCAATTGTAGATGTCGTATGGCTTACATTAATGAAATTTAGTGTCCTTTTAGGACTTTTTTCAAAAAAAAAAAATATACATTATAATAATTCTAGCTTCTATTTTTAATTGTTGACACGTTTGGACTTTTATGGAGTATTACTTTTAAATAACTCTACATTAGCAAGCCTTTGTGATATATTGATAAGAAAAAAAAAACGTATATATTCATGTGGGATTTTGTTAAGTTCTTATTAATGTACAATTTCTAAAGATATAAGCTTTATAATTTTTACTTATTAATAATTAGAGTTATCTATGCTTGAATTTATATGTTAGTAAACGTGCATGATTACAGAAACATGTCAACTAATTTGGAATGGAACTCATTACCTTGTTGTAATAATTTTAATTGTAATGTTACACCCTTACATTCTATGTTGGTTCACAATTCACAAGTTGGCTCTCCCTTTCTCCTCCCATACCCCTCCCTCCCACATTGTACTCCATGATATTCATCCAGCCTATGCAGTTAGTAAAATCAAATTAATTCCTTTAACTTTTGATATTTGATTGTTGTGATGTGCAAGCAATATGTTAGAAGTCACATTATCTAGCACCTCTCTTGATCAACCTGATCCTAAAGCAAAGTAAGAGCAATTACCTTTTCTTTTGGATCGAAGATTACATTCCATATATAATTTATATTTTCTTCTATCCAAATTGGTTGAAATGTTTTAATTTTACTTTTAATTTGTCAATTTTCACTCACACTATTTTAACTATAGCATCTTTTGTGGTTTATTATTAAGAGAAAACATATTCATTTGAGAGCTTGTTAAGTTCCTCTCAATATATAATTTCAAAATATTACTTTATAAATTTTACTCATTAATAATTAGAGTTATTTACAATTCAATTAGAATGTTAACAACTGTACGTAATGAAAGAAGCATGTCAACTAATTAAAAATGGAGTTCATTACCTTATTTCATTTACAGTAATTGTAACGTTACATACACTCTATGAATTGGTTCACAATTCACACAAATACCCCTATGTATGGTCTCCCCCCCTCCCCCCTCTTCTTCCCTCCTACTCAAAATCAGGGGCGTAGCCAGGATTTTAAAACTTTAGGGGCCGACTAACACTATAATAAAAATAAAATTAAATTAAATTAATGTGAACATGGTTGGATACTCTAATTGTACGGAAAAAAAATTCATTCAATCTGTTTTTAAACCATGCATTCTACTAAAATATATACGAAGTATTTGTTAGATTATTTTGTATGAGATATCCTACATATCACAATTATCAAAATAATAACATACATATCAATCTTAATGATATACAAACAACTTCCTCTATTCTTCTTGCATATATGCCTAGATTTATTAAGACAAGCTTCATAATATATTTTGTTAGCTATCAGTATATCTAATTAAGTATAAACATTACCAAAAAAAAAAATAACATACGAAGTATTAATAAATTCAGATGAATATAATAAGATAATTTTTAATTATAAGGTATCTTATATATAAATAGGAAATGACAAACAAAGTAGCTTAGGTGAATAAGGGTGAAAAAATTAAATGGATCATCTAAAAAAGTTTAGTAATGAGTAAACTAATCCTAGTATTTAATCCTTAAACCTTAGCAATTAACATAAAGAAGAATTTTACAAATTATTTTAAAAAATTAAGAAAATAAAATAAAATTACTGATTGAGTAGTGAAACAAATAAACAATGACGAAGCCCTCAGTAATTGGGATTTGAAAAAAAAAAAACTAGTCTTGTTATTTTAAACACCAATAAATGAGATTCAAACCACTATGGCAAGCCTTTAATATATGAAAATAAGTAACAGGAATATTATTTATTCTAAATATTTATAGGGGCCAAAGTTAAAATAATAAACCACGAAATTGGGCCATGGGTGGCCGGGCCTCCACCCGCCCCCCATGTAGCTTCGCCCTTGCTCAAAATGCATGTATCCATATTATTCACCCAATCTATGAAGTTAGTAACATCAAATTGACTCCTTTCACCTTTGTTATTGGATCAATTTAGTATACAAATTAAAGATGTGACATGCGACTATCGTGTCAGTAGTCACATTATTTTACACCCTCTTAATTAATTTGATCCTCAAGTAAAGTGAAATCGGTTATATTTTAGTTTAGATGATTACATTCCATGTATAACTTATATTTCCTCCATTCCAAATTGGTTGACATGACATGTTCTGACTTTTACTAACAATTTTTACTAAGGGTCTGCTCTCATAGACTGAACTCAACTGAACTGAACTCAATTGAACTGAACTAAACTGAACTGAAATAAATATTTTATAAGAGAGGGAAATTAGGAGTTGAACCGAACTTCTCTTCTTAAGTTAACATATGTATCTTAGATCTTCTTAAGTCTCTCTCAATGTGTAATTTCAAATTATTAACTTTTATATTATAATTTATTAATAATTAGAGTTACTTACGCTTTTTACGATCGGACTTAAGCTCTAACAAACATGCGAGATAAAGTATACGTGTCAATTAATTTGGAATGAAGCTCAGACTTCATTGTTCATAGCTCACACATGCTGCCCCCCTCCTCCTTCCCGCTCCTCTCTCCCAGATTGATTCCTCGCTTTATTCACCCAATTAACCTACGTAAGAATAACATCAAACTAGTTTTAGGCCCGGGCGATGCCTCGGTCATTTTTTGTATATAAAAAATTATAATAAATTAAAGTGAAATCTATTGGTGGTTTTATAATTTAAAAAAAAAATATTTTTTAAATATTATTGAACATTATTAAAATTCATTAGTAAATTTGCAGTAATCTAAATTTTATAATTCATATTAGTTTGTTTTATTTGTTAAAGGAATTTTTATCTACCATTAAAAATTTATCCAAGGTAAACACATGTTGCTATGTATTTTTGTGTTACATATTTTAAATACATATAACCTATATAAATTATGGATGAGTAAACGAAAGAATGAGATTATATTGAAGTATATACTACCTCCGTTACATATTATTTGCAACGATTAGACGACGTGGCATGATTTACAATTCTTCCCATGACTTTTAATTATATATAGATTGCTTCATTAGCTTTCACTTTTGATTTTAAATAAGTTCAATAGAAAGATATGAAATGCATGCATTGTGTCTTAATTTTTTTTTTTTTAGTGTTTAGAGAGCCACAAGGGCGGGGGTGAGAATCGATCCCAAGATATCT